TGAGAAACAAGATTCTCTGGTCTGATGAACCTCAATTCCAAGCATCATGTTTGAAGGAAACCAACTCTGCTCATCACCTGCAGAGTACCATCCCAAAAGTAAAGTGTGCTGGTAGCAGCCTCATGCTGAGGGGCTGTTTTTCAGTGGCAGGGACTGAGGAACTCGTCAGAATAGAAGAAAAGCTCAATGCACCAAAATATTGAGGTAGCCTTAATGAAAACCCAGTCCAGAGCATTCAGAACCTCAGACTGGGCAGAAGGTTCACCTTCCAACAGAACAATGACCCTAAGCACACAGCAAGAGTGGCTTATAGAAAACTCTGTGAATGTCCTTGAGTGGCCCAGCCAGAGCCTGAGCTTGAACTCAATCAAATATTTCTGGAGAAACCTGAAAATGTGCGTCTGCCACCATCCAACCTGACAGAGCTTGAGAGGTGAAGAGGTGAGGTGAAGAATGGCAGATAATTGCCAAATGCTGATAAGCAAACTTGTCGCATCAAACAAAAAAGACTTCAGGCTGTAAAGGTGCTTCAGTTAAATATTTAGTTGAATACTTATGTAATTTATTTCAGTTTTTTTATTTTTAATTAATTTATGAAGTTGTGACAATTCTGTTTTTGCTTTGTCAATATGGTGTATGGAGTGTAGATTGATGTGGGGAAAAAGTACATCTAGGCAGTTTAAAATAAGGCAGCAACATAAAACGTGAAAAAAAAAAATGAAGGGGTGTGAATACTTTCGCAAGGCACTGTAGTCATGGTTATCGTTTATTGACCTTATTATCGTCTCGTCTTCGTCTCGTCTTAGGCCCTGTCCACACGAAAGCGGTTATTTTTAAAACTGCAGCTTTTATTATGAGGTTTGGTCGTTCGTCCACACGCAAACGCATAGCATGCGGTTGCGTTTTCATGTGGACAGAGATTTTTTTTTTAAACGGAAGAAGGAAAAACTCTGTTTACTAAAATACCCGTGTATGTGTGGACATGGCCTTAGTCATGGGAAAAAAGCTTGTTAATGAAAATTTTTCCTAATAGTCTTTGTTACCGAAATTAACTGATTGGTTAATTGTTTTGATTGTTCACAGATTTTTCTTGTTAGTCATTAGTCTTTGTGTATAATTAGCCCTCATGTTCCCCTTGTCTTTGTTTGCCTTTGTTTACTGTAACTGCTCTTGGTGAGTTTGCTCATGTTTAGTTCGTGTTTCAACTCATCTTTTTTGTGTATTTTTAATTCACATTTGTTAATAAAAAAGCTGCACTTGGGTTCACTTCAGCTCAACTTCAGTGGAATTTATTACACTATCTATCTATCTATCTATCTATACTTTCAAACTGTTTCAAACTTTAACCCTTTAACACGTACGATCACACCAGTGCGATCAGTCTCGACTGGTCCCTGAAGCTACGATCATGGTGACCGTGATTTCACCAAGTACAACATGTTCCTGGATCAACATCCTTGTTGATCCTGGAACAACATTCCAATTAACCAATCAGAATTGAGGGATAACTTTTCAGGAAATATCCGTTTTAGGCTTATGATCAGGGTTAGGTGCTTCTACACCCTTGTTAATCAGCTATCACTTCACACTGATTTTAGGAATAAATTATGGGTAGGGTTATGTTTACGGGTAGGGATTGGATTTAGTCTATATTTTTGGACAGTAATGTTGATCCAGGATCAACAAAAGATTGTAGGGCCTCTGTGAACAGACACAAATGAACGATTGCATCTCTGCATTCCACCGGAAAACTAAGGTCTCCTATGAACCATGTGAGAGTCGTAAAACTGGTCATTGACTTATCTTCTCAAGAGACTCAAAGAAAAGCAGTGCTAAGACCCTAACTCACCCGGAGGATACAAACTATCTTTCTTTTACGGGTTTTCAGGGACCAGATGCGTGATACCCATGACCATTTAACACATAAATTAATAATCCCGTCAACAAAAGAGACAATTTTATATCTCCACGTCCAAATGAGAAGAATAGCAGGTCTATGACCAGGACCTTTTTACAAACTCCTTGACCTCAGGGTTTTCTCTGTGCTCCCCTTTCTCTAAATTCCAGGAAAAATAATTCTCTTTGAGAGACAAAGGAACACGCAAAACTCACTGGATGATTTCAAAAGACAATAATTTATGCGTATAAAAAAAGGCAGCTATATTCACAAATAATATGTTGTATGCATTATATATGCTTGAGGTGTTAAAATGTAACCTTGCAACTTTAATCAATGTGTTTAACCCCTTTTAGCAGATAAAGCTATTGATATGTTAAGTTTAGTGTTGAATGAAAGCGTGTGATAATTGCAGAACAGTGGTATGGATGAAAAGTGGGAAGTATGTACAATCCTCACATTAAGAAACTTTATAGAAGTATTAACAAAATCTGGCAAGGATGTATTCCACGTGATACCGGAAAGCATGTAATTTATGCACAAAAAAAAGGGAAATGTACGGGGCATGGCCCCGCCCTGCAACTGATCTCTGATTGGAACAATCGCTTCAGGGATGGACCAACTCGACTGGCTTAAAACCAGATGGCTCTTTCACTCTGGTCCGCTCGCTTCTTTTCGCCGTGTTAATAGCACTCCAACTTATGCTCACACGCTCACCATCACGAGATCGGGCCATCCAGAACTCAAACACTCCGTTCTTGTCGTGTAATTTTAAGGTTAAAACTCTACCCAGATCCTTGTTACCTTGCTCAAAATTAATAAGATTACCATTTTGTTTATGTTGTCGTTGGCCA